AACGTCCGCGCCTCTCCAGAAACCAGGGTCCGCTCTCCCTCTTGCTAACAGAAGGAGTGGCAGCAGGACTGCATCTGATGGCAACAGCGGGCGGGCGAGCGAGCCCCTGTCATTGCCCCATCCCAACCGGCCGGGACTTTGCTCTCCTCTCCCCGGGCTCCTTCTCACGCTGCTGCTGTAACATACCAGCGCGGCCAACGTGGCTCCTCTTCTTTCCTTCCCGTTACTACGTGGCAGCTCACCGCAGCTCCGGTCGGCGCTGCGCTCCGGTGTTCCGTGCTACGTTTCCATACTGCATCGTGCCTTATGCTCCAACTCCCCCCGTGACACCAGGGGGACTGGAGGACACGGGAGTTGCAAGTGCAAGGGACAATTCAAGCCGCGCAGGCTTCGCGTGCTCGAGGCCACTTCAGCAGCGACAGGACAGACCCCACACAATTGACTTCACACGTATACTGTGTACGCTGGGCTGTATTCACACACACGTGTCTATACACACACACACGTATACACTGGGCTGTATCCACACCACCTTTTCTATTGCCATAAACCCCACCGTGCAGTATGGGGGACACACTGCGGGAAAAATAAGGTCCTACACACCGTACAGTCACACCAGCGCGCCCAGGAGCTACGGGATGCCAACGGGGGCTCCTCGAAACGCACCCACACCTCGTACCATGCCCAACATTAGAGTCCACAGTGCAACGACCCGTTCCTACTGCGGACCTTCGCCTTCCAAAGGCCCACGTGGTGCCTCTCCTATGTGCTTCCCGTCTTGACAGCTTCTGCCATGCGCTCTTTGGCCTTCAGCTTTCCCGAGCAGAAAGGCTTCTTGGCTCCAGGCTGCAGAAGAGAGAGACACTGAACACCACGTTTGCCCGTGAGAGCTTGGCACGGCCTTCACACTGCCAGCAGGATGTGCGTGACCTTCCCTTCTCCCTCGCCCTACATGGCCCAAACCCATCGATACAGCTGCCTACGCATGCATCGCCCTCCAACTTTGGCAGCGGGGATGCTGCCGTGCAGCCGAGCCCGGCTGAGCAGCAGGGCCCCGGGACGCCCAGCCTCTTGGGACGGTCAGACCGACCGCAAAATCCCGGGTCCCTGACAGATGGAGCTGGCTGTTGCATGGAGTGCGGGAGTTGGGTATCGCACAGAGCTCCCAGCTCTTCGCCTGGTGTCTGCCCCGCCGCTGCTGCAGAAGGGCACAGCCACCCGGCGGTACTCAACAGCCAGAAAACTGCGCCAGACCCACCACATGCTCCTAGCCCATCACAAAAGCTACGTAAGTGCGTTACACAGTGCTCTCAGCCTCTGCCGAGACTCCACGCTGGGTTCCGTTGCCTTTCTGGCTGCAGTAAGCACACCACGGAGGTGCCCCACGCAAGAGATGCATCCCCAGAGCCAACAACGCTCTTGCAACTTTCAGCCCGCTGATGCCCCGGGGGTCTCTCACCACAACCCCTGCTCTTCATTTACCAAACGCCTCCTGAGCGGTCATCTCAGAGAGAGCAAAATCACGCGCCTGCCCCTGCGAGGGGAGACGTTTTCTGCAGCAGCGGACAGCTCGCTCACTTGTCCCTCCTCGCCTCGCCTCCATTGCGTGCAACCAAGTGACTGGAGGGCGTCATGCCTTCCCAGCTCTGCCTTCTGGAGAACGGGCACAGCCTGGAGGCTCCTTCGCCTTGTCCTCTGCAAGGCTCTGGATAACACCAGGAGTCACCTTCCTTCTACTTGCAGGACTTGCCTCGGGCATCTTACCAACAGCTGAGCGTTCAGGCTGCGCCATGCATCCCTCGTGCCTTCCTGCACCATCGGGGCAGACACAGCTTGAAGCACCTCGCTGAACTCGGAGGTGCCTGCTGACCACTGTGACCTGCCTTCGAACACTCGGGCACGGGGATATTCAGCTCCTGGGGCTCCCGGTGTCCTCGTGGGTCTTGCTCACCTGCTCCCGTGTTCTCACCTTGTGCAGTTTGGCCGCCCGCAGCAGCCTCTTCTCCTGGCTCAGCTGGAGCTGCGTCCTCTCCAGAGCCTCTTTCAGCAGAGCCTTCTCTTCTGCCTCCCTGTAGGCTTCATCTTCTAGCTTGGACATCTCCTCCTGGCACCTTCGCAGGGATTCTTGGTTCAGGCTGTGTGAAACAGGAGGTGTCTGTCACCCGCATCGACCCCTCGACCCCCAGCTGGGCTCTGCCTGGGAGAGACTGCTTTCGAGCCACATCATATCGCGCTTGCGTCCCTCCTAGGACCCCCCCACACCATGGGGTGACGCTAAAGGACATCAGAGCGGCTACCACCCTGCGAGGACCCGTGCGGGTTTTAGCAAGCGGTTTCCCTGCCCCCCTCCCTTACGTCACGGGAAAGCCCCTCTCCTCCTGCCTTTGCTGAGACCAAGATGCCGCCTCTTTGAGGCTTCCCCCCCCTCACACCCACCCCACCACACACGTGGCGATGGCTGCGATCCCTTCTGTTCAGCGTACGAGCCCGGAGAGGGACTCTGGGTGGCTGTGTCAGCACTGCTGGCTTAGAGATTGCTGTCAAGCCTCTTGCCTACTTTGAATGCAGCAGCTTATTTCCACCAGCCCAGAAATATCTTTCTACACCGCTTTTTCCGGTGCTGCGGGCAAAAAGACCTCTGCATTTGCGCAGCGAGCAGCAGCGGGGCTTGCACAAGCGCGCCCACGGAGTTCCTCCCTAACACATAACCTTGTGCGGCAGCTGTTGGAGCGGGAGCATTGCCTTCGGTCTGGACAGCCCTTCCCAGCAGCTCCCACGCCTGCCTCCGTCCTGCTGACACTGTCCCTCCACCCCGGCCGATGCCACTGCTGTCACAGGGTCCGGCCACCCCTGGCTAGGGAGTCTGCCAAGGTTTCCCCGGCTCTGACACTGCTTAACTGCGTAGGGCCCTGCAAGGCATCATCGCAGAGAACCGAGAGAACATTTCTCTGTTTCTCCTAACACTTAATTTTTATACTGTGGCCACAACACGACCAGTCCCAGGCGGACGCACAACCTGGCAAGGGGCTGCACCGCTCCTTTCCCCGAGTTCCCCATCACTCGGCATCCCAGGACTCGGTCTCACTCGGACCCCTGGCCAGTAACAGCCACCTTGCCTTTCGGTACCTGAGCTGCTCCACGCTGGCCTCGTAATCTTTCAGCATTTCTTCTTTTCTTTCCAGGCGACTCTTGAGGTTCCTGATCTTATTGTACAGCAGCTCCAGGTCCTTCCGTCTCTGCAGTCCCGCTTTTTCCCTCTCTTCCTGAGGAAGGTGCTTCAGAGACTGCATTCCTGACAGCTCCTTCATCTTCATCAGGCTTCCCAGAGCACCAATTACGTCAAGGTACTGTAGGAAGAACAGGGAATGCATTATTTACTAGGCCTGCCAATTCCTCTGCCACATAACATCACACCGCTCAGCCATCTGCTTTCATTCTGCTCTAATGAGGAGATGAAAATGTCACAAGGAAACTGCTGCGTGCCTTCCCTTTTGTTTAATTTCCACGTGTGCTTTCCCTGGGCGAGCTTTTCTGAGCGCTCCTAAAAATACGGCCGGCTGTGGTTCATCCGTGCCTTTGGGCCGCACGCTTGGAGGCACTCGGAGAGGTGACACACCGCACCGGAGCACATCCCAGCTCCAGGCCGGCCCCGTGCACAGCTGGCGTTCGAGTCCCAGCCGCATGACTCTTTGGGGTTGGATTTTTCCTTTTTCAAGATGACCCATTTTCCCTGCTGGACATTTTTCTGCCCTTTCCGGAGGGAAGAGACCCACTTTTACAACCCACCCACTGCGCTACCAACAGACACCTCCCTCTGGGCAGCCACCTCCATCACTCCGCAGCCTCTCTCGCATCAGTTAGCAGGCGTCTAAGCTGGTGAAGGTCTCTGTCCTCACCAACCCTACCTCTCCTTGAGGATCAGCCCTGACTGCCCAAGGGAACGCTCCCAAAGACCTTAGGTGGGAAGGGGAGAAGGATGCGCCATTGCACATTCTGGGGTCCCGAGGTGTCCTGGCAGATGCCCGGCGCGCCCTGCGTCCTGCAATATGCAAGTTCATCCTCGACCACATTCCTGCGGAGCCCTGATGCCAATCACTTCCTTCTGCAATGCGTTTGAAAACGATCTATCCTCTCTGAGTGCTGGGTACCATTTTAACAGGTCTATCGCTGACGTACCATCTTCTCCCCGAGGTCCGTCGCATCAGCCATCTCCGAGCTCGCTGCCCCGCCTCCCTTCCGCTGCACGGGAAAACCACCCTGGCAACGCTGCGGTCCAAAGCCTCCCACCCCGGTCAGCCTGCGGCATCCCTGAGCAGCGCTGCGCCGAGGGTGCCGGGCAATATACAGCTCCTTACAGAGCTGCGATACCCTCTGCAAGCAATGCCTTCCATTAGGCTGCATCCTGCATGCTGCCAGATTTTACACCTCCCTCTCTCTCCCCCCTGGCATTTCAGTTATTATACCTGAAAGCCTAATTCTCCCCATTCCAGGGAATACTTTTCCAAGGAAGCCACAAGCACCATGAACCACAAACTGCCTTCTTACCTTGCCGGCCTTCAGTTTTGTTCCCGACACGGGTGCAGGTTCCTTCTCAAGACCTGTTTTCTGGACTATTTTCTCTGGTAAGTCTTTCGTCAGGACCACCAGCGGCTCCGAACCCTTGTTCACGACAGCTGGAGGCAAACAAACACCCACCGAGTCGTGCCACTCTCCGTACGACATGCTGTGGCTTCATACCTCAGCCACTTTGAGGCTTGCCACGTTTCCCCTTACGGAGACCATACATGGAGAGACACGCAGGCTATGGAGTAAAGCCTGCACCAGCTTTCCCTGCAGACATCGCTATCCGAGTGTTTGGGCATTGCTTTCGCTACGTAAGTAGGATGCAGACCTATTTTTCAGATGGCAATTCAGAGATTGCACCACAAACTGCTACTCTGCTTGTAGCTTCTAACAGAGATGGCACTGCTTTTCCATACTGCTCTCGATACAGGGATATACATGATGGAAAGGGACCGAAAGAGAATGAGGTAGGGCAAGCAGAAGATTCTCACAGCGTACAGTACTTGCAAGGCTTTGCAAGACCGCAACACCCAAGGCTCGGTTCCTTTAGGTGACAGCTGCTCTCTCTTGCCTTGAGGAGAGCAGCACCCGAGCGCGGGAGCCATTGTGCACAGAGCCGGGTGCCTGCTCGCTTCTGGCTCTGACTGCACAGCAGCTACCGCTGCAAAACCCTTTGCCAGCTGCCTCTCCTTGCTGACTCCTGCAAATGCCACCTCCTCACGCGTATACGCTTACCAACACTTGATGCCTGTGAAGGAGTCCAAGTGCTTTTCTAAAGCCTGTAGCTGCACTGCGGGTTCTTCAGAGATGTTTGCCTGTCACCTGCACGGATTAACATGCACGCACGGGAGAGCTGACTTTGCACGGGAAAAGCCTGAGCCCATCGCAAGTGAAGAGCCCACGCCCCTGGCACAGCCCCTTGCGCCTTCCCTAGCATTACGTGCTCCACCGGCACAGACCCCGGGGTCTGCCAAAGGCAAATGGATGCATCTTCCCTTTCTAGTGACAGCCACCCTTACCTGAGGACTGCCTCTTCTCCAGCATCTTTATTCTCTCCCGGAGCTCGGCCAAGCCTTCTTTTTGGCGCTGGATCGTTTCCTCGTGCCTGAGGCCTCGGCATTTTGCGCCGAGGTCGGCCAAGTCCAACGCCGGCTCCTGGAAGAAGCAGCCCAGCCGGTTCTCGCCCAGACTGCATCTGGCTCAACACGAGCTCAGCTTAAACCTGGCTTAAACGCAGCCTCGCCGAAAGATGCTGGTCACTTGGCACGCGCCAAGAGCAAAGCCCGTGGAGCGTCTCACCCTACACGCTCTCTCTGTGGATTTGTGAGGTAGAAGAGCAGCGTCAGAGACCCTCTTTTCATGCTCCGCTGCACCAGCCGCACTCCGGTGAGGACATAAGCCCTGCAACGTCCCAGAGAGCTGGGAGAGGGACGGTGCGCCGCTCTGAACGGCCATGTCAGCATTTTTCTCTTGCACTTTGTGCTACTGCGGAGCATTTACTGTTTTCTATGCACAAATACTGACACACTTTGTGGCCTGCATTTATACACGTTCTCATGCATTATTCTCTTTTAAACTACACCCGTGCACACAGACACGTGCATTTCCCTATTCCAGCCCCATCCAGCTTCCTGCATTATGACGAACATCCAAAAATCTGGGACGGGGCAGGCCCATCATCACACCCTGCACACAGCTAATGTTGGCTGCAAACTGCCCGCTCGGGTCTGGCAGCCGTTACCCCTCGGCGCTGCTCGGCGAGACGTGGTTTGCTCCTGAACCGCAGCTTTGGCTGGGCTGCACCTCCCGCGCTTTGCGCTTCCTTCCCCATCGCTGTGTGCAGAACAGGACGGGCGATACCTCCCGCTCGTCATCTGGCTGTGAGTCACCGCTTGGCCCCCACACATCCAGCCTTCCTCGCTGGCACGCTGTCTGCCACTGTTGCGGTACAGGATGTACGATTTCTACAGTCCCTCCATCTGCTGCTGCACCCACCTTTGAGTTCTTCCCATTTCTAGCACCGGGGGAATTAAAGAGGAATTCAGCACAGGAGGACAAGGGGCATTTATTCCTGTCCTGTGCAAAAACCTACCTCTACTCCTGCACGTTCAACCCTATAATTGCTTCTGTGTCGCCAAAATAGCCAGCATCTATGGCTGAGCAAGGTTAGGAAAAGGAGAGAACGCTTGCAGATCTTTCCATACGCTGCTATCCCCTCTAATTGGCAATTATCGCAGCCATTAGCACACACAACACTTCACGGCTCCGAAGTGCTGTACAAACATCAGCTCATTAGCCAGCAGCAATGCCTGCACAGGAGCGCTGCCAGCACGGCTACCCCGGCTTGCAGGCAGCACAGGCAGCCCTTGGCTAGGGAAAGGGCGGCCGGCGATCCTGCTGCACTTCTGCCTTCAGCCAGCTTTGAGCAGACCTGAGGCTTGGCTGGGCATGGACAGGTCTCACCACGATGCTGAGAAACACCGTGTGCCTGACCGACACTCTCAGCAAACCCAGACCTCGGCAGCCTCTGTGCTTACCCTTTCGGAGGCTTCACCCGCCTGCACTGGCGTCCCAGGAGCATCCTCCGGCTTTTCCGCCGTTTCTCGGGAGGCATCCTTCAGCGCCTGACAGTCGGCTTGGGCTTGCCTGTGCCAAGAGACCAGGCTGTTGTGGGACACCGTGATGGATGAAGGTTGCCCAAACAGCTTGCGGAGAGCAGCACCCTGAGCACCCACCGATGACTACCACGGCGTGGGTGGGAACATTCACTTAGTTACAAGTGACTTAGTTACACGTCCACTGGCATGAGCTCCACTAAACCCCCGTTTCGGTTCACATGGCACTTCCATAGAGACAACATTGCTGAGCTCAATTCTGATGCTCTCAGACTAGCCTTCTGCTCCGGGGGAGATAACTAAATGCCATCAGTTGCTGGGAATCTACAGAGCAGCTTTTGCAAAGCCTCAGGTCACGGTGGCGTGTACCTTAACTCTTGAGCTGCTGCTTTCAGGGCTTGATCCTTCTTCTCCGCGAGGCTGGACATCTGGGATAACTTCTCTCTGAGCAGGTTCAGTTCCCGCTCTTGGCATTTCACCCGGCGCAGGTTCCGCTCCAGTTCCACCTTCTGCTCCTCGCTCAGCTCCCCTAGGCACACACCAGCTTCATGGGTTTCTGGCTGTCTCATCACCCAGCCCTGGGGGATCTGCAGTTCTCAGTGAAATGACATCCACGGATGCGTCCCCTTTTCCCAGCGCACCCTCGCGGGGGCTGTCAGCAATAACGGAGCTTGTCCCCGCAGACCCTCGCCCTGCCCTCGATAGCAGCCCTCAGATCCTGGGCCGTGCCAACAGACCTCGCTTTACTAAATCACAGTGCAAGACCAGTCTTTTTGTGTGGGCGTATGCCAGAGTAACCACTTGCTATGGCAATTTTCCTGCAGATTGGAGAAGAACGGGGTCGCCAGCATGGCCCGACTTGCAGACTTCCACCTTCTCACCTTCCTTGTAGGCACTGTCCCTACTTTTACATTGCACCATTACAGGCAGCGAGAGCAAGCCACACGCATCCCTTAGTTTCCAGGCTCAGGCTCGTTTACACCCGCTCTGCTGGGTACTCCCATAAAGCCTCCCCAGAGCACAACCATGCCCACTGAGGAATCCTGGACAAGGCTCCCCCAGTCTACTGGCTTAGGATACCTTAGACCCAAAGGGGCCCACGGGTGGGATTTTGAGAAAGATGGCCTCAGTTTTGTCCACCCTGTGTCCATCTGGTTACCCTCCCTCACCATCACTGCTGTCGCTTAGCCAAGGACAGGGAGGAGTTCACCTACCCAAAGGGAATGGACTGCCTGCTTTGCCCCGAGCATTGCTTTAGGATGGTGACATCTATTTCCCGTTATCTGCCTGTGCCCACTAGTACCTACCCTTGTTACTGCTCGGAAGAGGGGTGGGAAGATGGAAACCACGCAGTACGCTTCACCCACCTCTCATGTCCGACATCCTGGCCCTGGTTTCCGCGAGCTCCTTGGTTAGTCCGGCGATGACGGCCTCCTTGGACAGGAGCACGCTCTGCGCCGCCGCCAGCTCCTCCCTGAATTTCCTGAGAAAGATAATTGCAAATCTCACAGTGCGTTTGAAAGACTCATTTCACAGAGCCTGCGCACGCCTTCCTGAGCTGCATCTCATGATTAATACATACATGACTTTTTTAACTGCCTTTCAGTCCCCTAGGTTCATGCCTGTGGCACTGGGACTTGCCAGCTCGCTCTCTCTTACCTGGAGCCATCTGGACGGGACAGCAGATCACTCACATGCTGTTCGGCATCGCTTTGATGCTACATGCACTTAAGACCATCTCAGCCTAGCAAAAGGACTCTTTTCACCATCACAGACAAAAAAAGATGTCAGGACAAGTTGCAGTCAGCCCCTTGGTCTTCCTTAAGCTCTCCTAGTGATAAACTGCTCTTCTCCAAGCCCCTCTGAACAAGACCACCATCAGCAAGTGCTGCTTACCTCAGACAACTGTGCGAGTCCGTGGCAGGAGAAACCTCCAGCCAAGCTCCCGATGTCGCCTTGCGGGCATCACCCCGAAACCCTACAGGACACAATAACAGAGGCCAATTACTTCTTTGTAATGCATACACGTTTGGCCTGCTTGCTTCTGCTACATATATCCTCTCCTTCATGACAGCTTTGAAGACTGAGGACCATCTTTTTTGGAAACCCGTGTCTCTTAGGGCCCAGTTCCAACAGTGTTTGGACAGTTCCTTACATCCTTCCTTGCTCAGGATCACTTATGCCTGGGTGCAGCCCGAAGTGCTCCAGTCTCGTCGCTTTAGAGGGCAAAGAGCCCGTCTCCAGTGGGAAAGCCCAGTCTACGACCGTGGCGTGCTACCAACAGTCCCCAAAGCCACAGAACAATATAGTGCAACTCCCTGTGAAATGGCTTCTTCAGGGACTCACGGAGCTCGTCCTGTGTGCAGGCAAACCTCAAACCAACATCCTACTCAACGCTTTCCATAGCGGCAAATGCACTACTCCATCTCTCTCTAAATTTCACATTAACTGAGAAGGTTCCCAGTACGGACTCATCCCATGCAACCCTTAGCTACCTTCCATTTTTTCCACGAGCGCTGCATTTTCCTCCTCCAGTGTCTTCTGCTGCTGCTTGGCCTCCAGCAACCTGTCCTCTAAAGCCACAATTGTCAGAGAATGCTGCTTGCTTTGCTCTTTATATTCCACTATTTCTTCCTGCAGTTTCTGCCTCTGTAACTCATTCTCCTCCTGAAGGGTCTTGAGCTGCTCGTCTCGCATGAGTACCTGCTGCTGTAACGCCATCTAGGAAACAAGATGCGCGATCTCGGTTGGAAGCGTTGCATGCGTTTTCCTTTGGGATCATGATCAGCATCACCTCTCCTGGCTAGCGGTCAGAGGGACAGAGGGAAGGGAAGGATTTCAGGGAGGGGGGAGGCTGCAGTGCCCTGCCCCCTCATCAGCAGGGACCGGGGAAGCCTTCTTCACCGAAACCGCATCTACGCCACATCCTCTGCCTGCACACAAGGGCTGTTGGAACTACCTCTCGCGTCGTGGCTTCCTCCAGCTTGTGCACAGCTTCTCTCAGTTTGCAGTCTGTAACCTCCTGCTCCTTTGACTTCCTTGCTATTGCCTACATGAGGAAATTAGCAGTAATTAAGTTAACAAGCTTGCAAGAATCCACCTTTCTCTCTGCAGATAAGCATCTATGTGTATTTGGGGGGAAAAAGCCCACAGTCCACTGACAACCCCTGACCAAATGGACCACCATGCTACAGAGCACTTTCAGATTTATTTATTCCAAGTGTGAGCAGTTCTGCTTTTCCTCCCGTGCGTGCCACTGACCTCAGTCATGCTTCTCAGGTGGCTCTCCAGGTCTCGGATCTTCTTTTCTTCTTCTTCCATGGATTGCTTGCACTTGTCCCTCTCCTTGGCGACAGCGCTCTCCAGAATCTGAGAATTGACAGCCCACAGTTTCAGTACGGAAAAAATCATATCGTTAGGCAAAAGACCCCGACCCCAATGAGGAAAGCAACCAGGAGGGTCACTGCTCTGGAGCAGGGGCGTGTTGCGGGAGAACACCTTGGCAGGACACGAGGCGACTCAATGAGGGAGGGGACGAGAGCGCCCGGGGAAAGGTACAGCAGAGAGACCAAGGAGGAGCCGCTCAGCTGCTCCTCGCCTGCCTCCCAGAAAACTCGATGCCGGGAAACAATCCTTCCCGAAGCGACAGACACAGCAGCACGCTAGAAACTGTCTTACAAGACCACTACAATATGTTGTCCCCATCACAACATACAGATGCAGCAAAACACTGATTCACACCTTTACTAACACTATGTCCCGCACCGGCGCCATCGGCTCGATGACCTGGGCTTCCCCGGGACTGAGGGAGACCCCAGCGAGAACCTGCCAGGCAGCTGCCCCCCCTGCTCCACTGGGGATATACTTTTCCAGCCAAGACAGACCTAAAAGGAGTTCAGCGTGGGGAAGGGAGGGAGCAAAAGGCTTGCGAGGAAGTCTGCATGCGCTTGCATTCCATTTACTACAGACAACGTAATGTCTTGCTGAGCTCACGTATCTGGATGATGCTCCTTGCTTTCCGCTTTCTCCCAGGGACTGACCGGCAGCAGTGCATCCTGCCATTACCCAGATGCTTTCCAGTTCCACCATGGATACTTTGGGGAGTTAAAATCACCCGCTTCAACATCTGATATCCAGGCTCTTGGGACTGCACCTAGGCAGTTCGGGGCTAGAGACTTCTTCCTCTCACTAGGCGACACTATTACAGACACCTATTTTTCCTGCATAACAGTCATTTTCCCAAAAAACAACCGTGCCACCGTACCTCTTTGTTCTCCTTGTCCTTTTCCAATATAATTTGCTTGATTTTTATCTGTAGGTCTTGCTCGTATTTTGCTTCCAGCTCCTTCACGTGCTCCTGCAGCAAAGCTGCCTGCGACTCCCGGACCCTCTCTAATTGGGCCTACGGGGAAACAGCAAATACTGAGGTGTTAAGGGAAGCGTGTTAGCAGCAGGGCAAGAAATAAACATCCTGTGTACATTCACTAACAAACAATTCAAAAAAACGAGATATACCCTCCATCCTTGCCGCGTTAGGGATACAGACACCGACACGCTGACAGCGGGCTCCATCTCCTCCATTCCCCTGCCTTTACTGCAGACCCAGGGACCTCTGCTACCGTACATTCCCAATTCGGGTACCACATCATCTCACTTAGGGCTACCGTCGTGTTTACCGATAGAAAGATCCCCAATCAACTCGGTTTACGTACATATACGTTTCTGTACCTGTAACATCCGATTCCTCTGTGCAGTTTCCTGACTGTTTTCCAACAATCTCTCGAGAGCAGCCAACAACCCTGCAAAAGCCAACGGAGTCTCGCGGTGGGGGGTGCTCACACAGCCCACGTACACCACCTGGAGCATCCTCGGAGGCCTGGGGACGCCGCTTGCCTCCTTGCAAAACTCGCTTTGGCCACCGCTGACCTTCAAGCCCTGGCCCTCACCCCCCTCGGCTGATGGTGGGGGTCCACGTTCCTCCATAGGCAGCAGGGAGGAGAAGGCACCGCCACTAACTTCCCACACAGTCACCCCCCGCACTCATTGGGATACCCAGAAAACACACTCGACGCGGGCTTCCCTCCCAGGCTGGGGCAGCAGATGCGCTGGCGTCGGCTATCGGGGAAGGAGAGACCCGGGGGCAACAGTTCCGCCTTGCACCCAGAGACCCTCACTAGCCTCTTGCCACGGGATTCAGGCTCAGAGATCCCCTCAGAAAGGCTCCTAAGCCCCAGCTGAGGGTTGCCCCTCCACGCTTGCTGGAACCATAGCACATTCCCACCCCTGGGAGATCGCTGCTGTTGCCGAGGCATCGCCAGAAGGGAGCTTGGCTGTGCACACAGCCCAGATGCCTGTTCTCACCAGGAGACTACATCTTCCTTGTCACACGCTGTCACCCATTTTGCTGCATCACCCCGTCTTCTATAAGCCTGACACTTCTGCAAGAGCCAAGGATAGAATCATAGAATCACAGAATCGTTAAGGTTGGAAGAGACCTCCAAGATCATCGAGTCCAAC